AACATACAAAAGGAATCTACTCTTCACTTGGTACTGCGTCTCCGCGGAGGTGCGTTCTAAAATCTCTTCTATTTGGAACTAACAAGAATACAAATTCAAAATTTTAATAGTATTTAATGTATTTAGTTGATATCTATTTTGTAATTAAATATTTTAAAAACCACTTTACTCGTTACAAAAATTTTTCCGCTTTTGTGTTTTTTTGAATTTAATTAAATAAAACGAGATCGCAATACTTCAGAAGAAAGTTGATTTTTACTTATTGGAACAATATAAAAGGTAAAGGAGATTCAAGCAACGCTTTTACAAAGTGGCTACCATCTGTTTTGGATATCGTTTGGTCACATGACTTATTGATCCCGTGCGTTAGATTAGCTTAGTATATTTTTTTGATTGGGATAGTTGGACTTTGTTGAGCGTTTGCGAATATATTCAGTCTTCATAATTTCACCCTGACCCATACGTCCTCTTAGGTTGACTTGTAAACCTGGTTGCGTAAAAATTATGCTTTAGGAAAACAGCGCCGCATTGTTACTAATGGTGAATGGATATTTAATTTTCGATTTTTGAACTTTTAAGATTCAACTGAAAAGCCCAACTTTTTATAATTTAATTTTATTTAAAATAATACACCATACGAAGCCCTTCATTGGACCAATGTATATCATTAGATGTATTACAGTTGTATATTACAAGCAACCTCCTGACCACAAGATGTAATTGTAGGTTATGCAATCGTATATTAAAAGATATTTAAAAAAAAAACACGAATGCATTAAATTCACTAATTATAACTCATGCATAGAAGTTGCAAGTACGTGAGGAGTGAGAGTTACGGATTGATTGCCCAGCCACATAGAGGGACCAGGAAAAAATATAAAGAAGAAAATGTCAAGAAGCAATAGCATGAAAAAATTAACATCTCACTCAAACTTAATTTTGTGCAGTCTTTTTTTACACGTTCATGCGGTCCCTATACATCGCAAAAAACAGGTTTACTAAAAAGGTCATCAGAGCAACAGAGCAATAAGCTTATAATTTAGGCAATAAAGGAAAATGTTTTTTGGTAATGGTGGAGACGATCCAAGTGAAATGAATTTTATTGCAAAATTAATTAATATGACGAAGCATTACAAATATTACATTTAAACTTTGCTCAATGCTGCGCAAATGTGTTTGTTGATGAAAATCATCTGTTATTAACGGTTTCTTTCTCATGTTCTCTTTGCTCAAAACAGCTGTTTTACGAATGCGCACATTCTGTACAACTGAGAATTGTGCTTTTTGTATAAAGTATAAAATTAAAGGAATTTCTGGCCTAATCGTTATTTTTACGTCCGATACTTAAAGCATAACAGTGAGATGGTTAAGCAAATCAGTTTAGCGGAAGTAAAAGAACATAATAAAGCTTCCGATCTTTGGGTGGTAATCGAGAATAAGGTGTATGATTTGACAAAATTTCGTGATGAGGTTAGTTGTCTAGTGTGTTATTAAAATTAGAAACATCTTAAAGAAAAATATACACGTGCAGCATCCTGGCGGGGAGGAAGTGCTAGTTGAAGTAGCCGGTCGTGATGCGACAAAAGATTTTGATGAAGTCGGTCACAGTCAAGATGCAAAGTGAGTTTACTATGATCACGTATTTGCATTGTATGTTAATGTTAATATATGTGTATTGTGGTCCCATTTTTAACAAGGGACATGATGAAGAAATATTGCATCGGTGAATTGGAAGACAAAAATACTGAGATGCAACTGCCAGTCAGGTAATTATTATTAATATTGTTTCCATTGTAATGAGCGGTAGTATATAAATTGTGTCGTTCCGTTTATAAATTGTAACTAAACATAATATTTGTAATCATGTCTCCCCGTCCGTCTATATGCAGTTTTTTGCAAAAAATTAATGAAATCCATTCAGAAATGAAAATGTTTCACATACCATCGGCGAATAACGTAATGCATACAATAAACTACGTTTAGATAATAAACGTGCAGTTTAAATCTAAATTTAATCTGAATATGTATTTGATTCGCTTTAAGGCGAACATCGTATTCTTATATTTTTTATTACTTTTTTTGATATATTATCGGGTGTGCTGGTTGGTTGGTTTGTATACCTTACACACTTGTGCATACATTGTACAATTAACATAATTCTTTCGTTTTATTCCAATTAGTTTGCATGGCAATAATAATTTAACATTTAAAAAACCCTAACTGCAACAACAATTAAAACTGCAAAGTTGTATTATATGACTTTGCATATACATATATTACACATTTACGTGTGTATATATTTGTTTTTTAAATAATATATGCATTACTTCATTAAAGGTTTGTTTCTCGCATTTACTTAAATATTAGAAAATTCATATTAATCTTGTATTCTTGTATCATTAAGGTGGAAGTATTTCCTTTACCAACCTTTGTTTACTTCAAAATTTGATTGTTTTAATTAATCATTTTTAAAGTAAAAGATTAAAAGAAATTTTATTGTCAGTGACACGCAAGGGAAATTAAAAGTGGATCAAGTATATCAGGGACATGGAAATTTGTTAATGCCTTTGATAATTATTTTCTTTTACGTTAAAAATTGAACTTTTTTTTATTTATTTAGCGATTAAGCAAAATGTTTGGCTTGAATCATAACTTGTGCTACGAAACAAAGTAAGTTTTCCTTTTATATTAAGAATTGAAAATACCTCAATTATCTACTGATCCACAATTCTGGGGAGTCAGGACAAAATTATAATGCAATTTTAGAAAAATTATTAAAAACTTTTTTATTATTTAAGAAGTTTTTGTTATTTATTAGACGCAATGCGACTGTCACGGTTGACTTTTAATTTTGAATTTTTCAAAACACAATTATTAACAGCCTTCGAAACGATAATATGCAGCTTACAAACAATGTTTCGTTTGATAAAATTTCTCCGTCGTATCGGATTCAGCAAAAGTCAAGTATTTTGATGTTTGATAAAGGGAACAAGTCTGTTGATCGTCCTACATTTTTAGCGAAGAAAACCCAAATGCAAGGAGAGAAGTCGAGTGTTGATCCCGTATGTCACTGCAAGAAGTTAGATGATGACTGTAAGTTGAGGTGTGGCATCGCTGTAAATTCTTCAAAAAAAAAAAAGTTTTTTTTTCGCATAATAGACCCTTCGAATCTTCTGGAATATGCGGAAAAAAATCGATATCTGAAACAAATGTTTTACTTAAAATTTCGGCTTTTTCGTTAAGCACTGTCGGAAGGCTGCCTCTGCGAAATGAGTCGATACTGCGAAACGGTACTCCAATGCCGTAGTTGTCGATTTCCAGCTTCTCTCAGACATTCAGAGACATTTTAAAAAATTACTTAGCGTAGCTTCCCCCAGACGATCGTCGAGTAGCTGCGAGGTTAATAGCGGCTCACAAGCTGGGAAGTTTTGGAGAAAGTTATCGGTGTTGATTAAGAATTCGGCTATCAAATTATACGTGAAAAGTGCGATTCTGCTTTTGGTAGATACAGGATAATAGGCACTTTCAAGCAGAAGCCGTCAAGGAAAGAGGATGAGGAAGAATATTTCTAATTAAAAAAAACATGTATAACACATTTGAAAATTTGAAGAACGTTTTTTTTTCGAAACACGGTATTCTTAAATGGTTCACGAAAAAAATCCGCAACATTTTTGGCTCGGTTCTTAGCCAATGATCGCCCAATCGCGTGAATATATTTTTTAAGTATTCAAATATGAACAAACAACACACGAGAAGCCCGTTATGTCGCCAGTTTTTAATAACAATATTTTTCAGAGAAATCCCACCGAATATTATTATTGTAATCACTTTCCTCTTTAGATTGTTACAGTGATGCTACCCCTTAATTTCAAATATCTAAAATGCTTGAATTATACTTATTGTTATGCTACACTCGTCATCAATCACGATTTTAGTAAAACTACTAAGCTTGGCTTAAAAATGCTCATTGCAGCAATATGATATTGAAAATAATATAATATATATATCTCGAGTAAAATTCTTGTTATTCTTTGAGCAACTCAAGGGTTGTGGGTACAAATCTCAAATTGCGGTAGAGTTTTTAATAAAGCCGACAGCCTTGAATGCTAGTACTTATCTGGCTAAATCAATAATAATAATAATATATATCCTATCCTTTTCTCTTCTAAAATGTTTGTACAATAAATATCGCTTCTGCTGCGCTTTAATAACCATTTCATTTAATACGTAAAATAGTAGTTTTTAAGCTTCTGACTACTGCTTGATGCATCAAAATTTACTATTTTATTTATGAATATTATTGAGAAAAGACAAATGCCTATGCATCGGTTTTCAATTGCAGAACGTGTATTCTAAAAAATACGCGATATGTCAAATTTAATCGTGTTAACTAACGGAAGACACGTGAACAAAACAAAAAACAAATAATTGTTTCCCCAATACAAACAATTTCTCAGTCTCCGTCCGTAGCAAATCATAGCAGCGTTGGGAAATGCATGTAATAAGCTTTCGTCGAAGCTTTTTCTGATCCACAGTTTAGTCCAGGTTCCACACCCACTCATAATAAAGAAAACAACAAGAAAAATGTAAATGTATAATTTAGGTTGGAGTGCATATCACAAATGATTTAATCATATGCACCAATCTGCATGTTGGAATCGCGATTACGATCTGTAAGGAAAAATGAATGTACGAGGGGTAGAAGCGAAAATTCGAACTCTGTCTTTTGAAAGTTGTTAATGTAGTACGGTTCCATTTGCTGTTTTTCCATCCGATTATTGTCTAGTTTTAAGCCAACATTTATGGATTTATGAAGTCAATCAATAGATTAAAAAAGAAAATAGCTTTTAAAACGAATATTTCTTTGAAGTAAGCCTTAAATTTGGAAAAGGAATAAGAAAGAAGTAGGACGTGAGTGGTAGCAGTTTTTCATTAATATGCATTCACATTTGACGCATAGCCTTTAGAGTAGATGTCAGATGCATGCGTATTATCCTTTTATTTTCGGCATGGGGACGAAAGAAGATCATCTGTCTCGCTTTTTCTGTCTTTCTTTTGCTAATGTCACCTTTGTTGCATCGTTTTTCTATTTACCGCTAATTGCAAACATTTTCCAATTAATTTGTGTGAAATATTTCCTTACGTTTTTGTTGCATTTAATTTTATCTTCCTAAAATTTTTTTTTTAATTTCTTTTTGGTTTCTTTTTTATGCTTTTCGTCCTAACTACACGAATAACGAATTTTTTACAGTACCAACATTGCTAACAATAGTAATACCACCAACGCACAAATGCCCAATGAATTGTATCCTAAAAACAAGTGTTGTGACATCAGCTAATAATTGCTTTGCAAAAAAGTTAAAATATATATTTGCAAAGGGCCAATATATACATGTCCAAATGTATCCTATATATCTACGTTAACTATTATTCTTAATCTATATTTTTGTCTTCAGGGAAATTGGTATCACTGTTGGTGCCGTTATTATTGGTGTGGTCGCTGTATTACTAGTGAAAAAGATTTTTTTTTAAAACTTTATTATAAGCAAAAAGGCATTGTAAGAAGAAATTTTTAAAATTTATGAATACATTCCTTTGGTTTGTAGTTTTCTCTTTTAATTTAGAATGAAATGTTTTAATTATTTGTCGTCAAAGAATTTTTACTTATTGTAACAACAAATACGAGTGCCTAAGTTTCATATACACTAAAAATAATAATAATAATAACTATGGAATATTTGCCTTGCCTTCTTTGGTGTGTTTCTTTTTGTTCTTTTTTTTTTTTTATTTTTTTTGTTAAACATATAAATAAGACAAAAAATATAATATAAAACAGTGTTATTGCTTTAGTTTTATTTTCGAATTTATCGGTAATTTGTATCAGATTTTATGGTCTTCTTCTTATTTACGACTGGAGCTTAATTTGTCACAGTACGATTTGTGCATTTATGTACGTATTTGTTCAGTTATTCAAAATACTCTTCGTCGCTAGCCACAAATTCAATTAATTTCTCGGCGAATATATATTTTCCGCTACGAAGAAGTAAAGTTCTTCCGATCGGTACAAATCATTCGAGTCAGTTAGTAGTGGCAATATTTGGTTCACACAATAAGTGCCACGGGCTGCATTTTGACTGACAAGAATTTTGCTGCCGGAAATTTTACATATTTCCGCTCGCTTTGATCTTTGACGCTTGGAAATAATTGCAGTTTGCACCGTTAAAATTGGAATATCACCGACCATCAAATCTCATTGCTTTTATGCCTAAAAATATTCAACGCAATTATCAAGAGCTAGAAATCCATCCATTACCAATTACCTATTGCCGATATATTTCGTTATTGGATGACTTCAGTCAAATTAATGCAATGAAAAGAAATGATAACGCGAATAAATAAGAATAACTCGACTCGATCAGGAAAAGTGTTTGATTCCTCTTGATGACGAAATGGACAAGTTTTGCCATCGAATCTTCTTTATTTTTAAAAGGCAGGATAAGCAAATTTTTGAAAACTGACTTCTTAATTGGAGAGTGCGTACGGAGTGGACTATATGCTGGCAACGAGCGTGTTGTTATGGTATTCTAACAAGTTAGTTGTTTTTTTGCTTTCGAATTGTTTTTCCCTCTTTGGAAGTAAAACAAAATATATTATATATTGTTAGAGGATTCACCCGAGACAAGCTAAAAAATATAAGATGTTCAAAGTGGAAGCTTGAAGCGCCCAGCGGAAAACTAGGTCGGACGACGTGCGTAGCGTAACAAGTTCGCAAAGCTCGCACTTTGCATATTCTTAACAAGGGTTTGGAACACTAAGTAGAATTTAGCTAATTTTTCTATACAACAAGCTAACGTTTTAGAAAATATTTTGAAAACAGACCTATGTATCTTCCCAAGAAGTTTCAATTGTTGAAAGAAATCCCAATCCTAGAAAACAAATATCTTAAAAAGCGCTTGCTGCAAGTTGAACGTATTCTTATTTAAAAAGTGTATAAACGGAATTGTTTACCCTTTCTTTTCAAATATATTTTTTATTGAATAAACTTTTACACAAACCCCATCTTGACATTATAAACAATAGCCTAATTACGTATTAATAATATGTATGAATTAAAGATTTAAATTTATGGAATTTATTCATCGGTGTCTTTGAACGCTTCATTAAGTGCAGGCAGATTGCGGTCACTTACGTAGCCTTGTAAATCATTGCGTCCCATTAACGATATCACCATTTTTAAAGTACTCCAAATTGATTCTGACATATGCTGTTGGCCAACAGTTATTGCGGCCGCAGCTGAAGCAGCGAGCATTTCGGGTTTGGCGGCCACATTCGCTTGCATATTTAAGGCGGTCAAAAAATGTTCAACGGCTTGCTTGTAAGCTTTTAAATTTAGACAGCACACACCTACATTGTAGCGTACGCGTATGAAGCCAGGCTCGAGTTCTAAGGCGCGTTGATAAGCTTCCACAGCCTCTACGGAGCGTGACCCATTGGCTAAACTAGCTCCTAAACGATTCCAGATTTTGGCATTTTGCGGTTGCACGTGTAACGCGGTTCGAAAACAGTCGACAGCTTTATCATACTCGGCAGAGAGATTGTAAAATACACCTAGAGCTTCCTGAACCTCAGGATCTATCTGCTGAGAGTTAAGACGTACGGCTTGCAAATATAAATTTTGTACTTCCTCTAATTTGTTGCTTTTTATTATGCTCGAAGGAAAAGAAGCAGCAGTCGTATCCTTGGACGTTTCAGTTTCTGTAGTTACCAGGTGTTGGTATTTGGGATTTATTTGCAACCAATTGTGTAACATCTTCACTGCTTGCGATTGCATGCTTTCATTAGTGTAGCAAACAGCCAAAGCCATTATAACACGGGGATTGTCAGCCACCAATTCTAGAGAACGTTTTAAAGCAGCTATTCCTTGGGGGTCCATTTCATTTTCTGCTTGCGAAATCCCTAACAATTCCCAAACTTGAGCATTGCCTGGATCGTTTTGTGCAGCTACCTCGAAACATAACACTGCGCTGGGTATGTCACCTTTAGCTAAGTACTCTTTGCCTTTCTCGAAAGCGTCTGGCACCTCTTGCATCGGATTATCCTCAGCAAATTTGTATTCCTTATAGGGATCATAGTTTTCATCAAATTCTGAAAGCCAAGGATGTTCGAAATTTTCAGATAATTTGGACCATTCATCCTGAAGACGCTGCCAAAACTTTTCATTATAATTTGCCGTCATTTGCTCGTTACTCTCGTTGCTAACTTGATAATCATGTATCCAATCTTCGACGGTCGTTTTTTCCATATCTTGGACCTCGTCAAAAAATTTTTCAGTTAGATTTGTTTGCTCTCCTTCAAATACCGGCGGTCGATATGGCGGGCAAATAGCCAAATACGGGAACTCTCCTTCTAAGCGAGATGGTGCCGCTGAGGTATCATCATCAAAGAATTCACTCACATATGTAAGCTGTTGCTGCTGCGGTTGCACATGGACCATTCTTTCATTACAAGGAACAGGGGGTACATTAATATCATCGCTCAATTGCTTTGACCATTGTCCGGCTACTTGATCTATCACTTTTGGGGCAGGCCGCAGATGATTGCTACCTATTTGGGCAGTTTTTTCGATTTCACGCATTTCCTGTAACAAAGTTTCTAAGTGAAATGACTGGGGAGGACCGCCCACCTGACCCAAGAACTCATTAATCATTGCTTCATCCTGGCGCATGCTATGTTCAAACTGAGCTTGTACTATCCCCTCATCTTTGTGAGCTGCGTCTTTCATGAATTGATTGCCTAATCTCATGAGGGGATTTGCACCTCCACAATCGCCTTCGACGAGCTGACGTAGGGACATTTTAACGTTATTTTATGATTTGTAGATTTTTTCTAATAACACAAACTTTTGGGTCCAATGGTGAAATATTTTAATGACTATTCACGAATGAACAAAAAAAGAAAGAGCAAAACCCTTTTACTATCAAAAACCGCTGATTGTCGCATATTTCTCACCATAGCAAAAACGGGTATGTTCAACTTAAACATACGATTTTTCTAGTTCAAAAGTTCGTAGAATGGCAGTCAATAAGCAGTAAGGTAAGTGAATAATCTATTACATTTTGAAGTGTCTTCATTACCATGAATACAAGAGAAGTTTCGACTCGATCTATCAGTTTGTCGAATAGAAACAGTGCTTACAGTTGGTACTTTTTAAAATGGAAAATATTGAAAATCGCGCAGTGATTAAATTTTTTGTAAAAAAAGGTTTAAAACCAGCGGAAATTTATAGCGAAATGGTAAACGTGTTAGGAGAGTGTGCTCCTTCAAAAACAGTGATTTATAACTTGGCCGCTGAATTTCAACCTGGTTCAACAGATTCAGATGATAGTCCTCGCTCCCCGTCATCTGGCAGTTCTTTTAAAGGGCATCCAAACACCACCTAAGAAGATGAACATGCAAACTGAAGAATCATTAAAGCGAATGTATTGAACTTGCAACAACGACATGAAGAATAAGTCTTTTTCTTTGACTAGATATTTTCCTTTTTCGTTCTACATACTTTTCAATTAGCCTACCACAAACAATATTTCTACATATAGTCAATTGTTTAAAACTTTAATTTTCATATAATTGAGTATATTCAGATCTTGCAGACCGCAACGCAGCGCAGTAGCGTTGGAAAAGGCTTCGTACGTAAAGCCAGATACATATATTCATTAATATTTATCTTAAAATTAAATACAACGAACATTTAATTTTTACTTTTTCCTTTATAGGGGTCATACCCGTCGATTTTTTTTTTCATTTCTTAAATCTGTTTTGTTCTCGTTACTATTTGTATCCTTTACGTCTAAACTACGTTCCTCCACAACAGATTCGGGATTGTCTAGCCAATATTTATAATTACTATTAATATTAAAATGCCGTTTATATCCACATAATTTACAAACCAACTGAACTTTAGCACTCTCATCTATTGGAGCGCTATTTCTACGTCTTTTTTGGGATTGAGCGCTCAAACAACTAGTCAAGCCAGGCTTCTGTGCTAAAGAACAACGCTTACAAAAATCGCGTTTTATACCCGGTCCTCTAAAAAATGAAATGAAGTTTTTTATTATGTAGAGTGAAATGATAAGAAAAACTCACATCTTTAACGTAGCCTTCTTGCCTATATTTTTGCATAATTGGCCATAAAATGCGGACAAAACATTACTACGACCTGCCATCAACATAGAAGCTTGATATAGAAAATTCATACGTTTGAAACATTCTCGTCCTTGAAGAAAATTCTTATTTTTGTCCTTTCGTTTCATATCTTGAAGATCTTAAAAAGTTGAAGCAATTGACATTGAACTGCTGTTCGATAAAATGCAGGCAAATTTATGAAACATATCGCAAATGGTACTTTGCATGTATGATTCACAATTAGTAACAAAATTAAAGAATCACAATCGATATGTTTGGGTTTTAACATAACAACTCTGTTTCTTAATCAGCAAAATGTTTATCGAAATTCATTTTGGGTCAATTATCACATTATCCATATTTTACTTTTAATAATTTATTTATTTATTTATAATATATTTCTTTGAAATTTTGACCGGTTTCTAAATTTCGTTTAATATTCCTTGCAATTTGTAAGTTATGAATGCGAATTTTGATAAACCCTTTAGATTCATTTGAGAAATTTTATAATCCATAAGTCAGCCCCAAGTTTCGTAAGACTTATTTTGTACGTCAACAAATATATAATCTTCGTTAACGTTTTCTTAAGACATCTCTACATTTTCCCTATGTTATTTCGTAAACAAAAATCCAAAATTATGTAGACTTAAATTGTAATACCTATTAAATCAAAATTATTCATAGTTTGTTTAAAAAGGGTGTTAAGTTTGTTTATTAATTGTAGCAACTCTACTTAGGAAAATGACTCAGTTGTACAATTGATTTAGTTGAATAGGTTTTATGTGTTCGTGAAGTGGCCCTTGAAAAACGGAAGAAAAATTTAAATGTGTTAAAGAAAAGATTAAAATGAAATAAAGAAAATGTTATGAATTTCTAAGTACTAAAAATATAAATCCATTTTCATTCCAAACAAAAAAAAAATTTAGAAAACATTGCAGGCGAATTTCAATAAGCGTAAATAAGGAAAATATGAAAATGAGACAGGAAAGCTATTGAGAAATTTATGTAAAATGTGATGCAAAGAAACGATTTCAAATTTGCGGTTTAATCGTCTTTGTCAGCTAAATTTGCACAAGTTAAAGTGGAAATTCGTTGGGAAAAAGAAAAACTTGATACCAAACCTTTTGTCTGTTACAGTTTTTTCTGAGGAAATTTTTCCAACCACCTTTACCAGTTTTCGTTTACTTTCATTTAATATCCTTTAAAAGATATTTAGCCCGTGCTTCCTCTTATTTTGGCAAACAGAAGAAGAAGAAGACGCATTTGGAATGGTAATATTTATATGAAAAAAGCAAAAAAGAAAGAGCAGCAATATTATTAAACAAATTTATAATATAAGCATAAAAGTTATTTGTATAATAATTTTAAGAGTTCATAATAGGTATAGTTGAATTAAAATCATATTGAATAACATTAATTAATTAATTATATTAAAATACTACTGAATATTTGCTTAATGTTAACTATTGACTGCGGAGTTGATTTAAAAAAAAAATTAGGCTTCTTCTTCTTCAACTTAACATTACTCAGAGGTACGTAGAAAAGTGTAAAACGAAAACTGGCAAGAAAACCTTTAATTGAAAAGAAAAAGAAAAATTGATTAACCGAACCGAAGTAAAAAGAGGGAGAGAAGACAAAAATCGAATTTAGTCGTGTAGCGATTCGTTAACTTGATACACACTAAAGTGTGTTGTAGGAAAAAAACTTTGGAAGAAAAATTAAGAAGTTATCTAAAATTTCAATAGAGAATAAAGTGTTGAGAAACAAAATTAAATGATTTTTATAAATTTAGTTTTGGAAAAAGAATTAAATTAAAGAGAGAGAAAGCAATACAAAAAAAATTCTTATAAAGGCAAATAAAAACGAAAATTTTCTGACACCTTTTAAAGGTGTTAGAAGTTTTCTCAGCTTTTTTCGTTGCGTACGTGAAATTCATTGAAAAAAAAACTATAAAGGGAGGAAGTTGCATTTATCGTCAAAATGGAACAATTGATACCAATTGTTAATAAGCTGCAGGATGCCTTCACTCAGTTGGGCGTCCACATGCAATTGGATTTGCCCCAAATAGCAGTGGTGGGTGGACAATCGGCCGGAAAAAGTTCTGTACTTGAGAATTTCGTGGGCAAGTAAGTGAAAAGGATCTTCTCCTAAAAACCTTATTCAAAACTTTTCTTATTGGCTTTGTGATTTTTCTGTATTCGAAGCCCAATGTCATGTAATCATTGTTTTTGTTGTTTAGGGAAAAATCAATGGCATGCTCCATTATTTTATAACCTTCTTTGTTCACTCTTCTCACTACTTGACATTACATGTTTTCTGCGTGCATTAGGGAAAAAAGGGTGGAGTGGGTGGGTTGTGTAGGCAATGTGTTGTAGTAATAGTTTAGTGTCTTGCTTTTTCTTTCTAATGGGAAAAATTTGAAAAATATGTAGGAAAAGGTTTTTAAAATAGTAGCTTTTTTATTTCGTCCTTATGATCTTTTCTTCCGTGCATATACTTATGTCAACTTTATGGAATCCGTTCTATCATTATGAATTAGGAATTTTTTAGATAGATTCCTCTTTTGATGTCTTATTTTATTTATTCTATATAAAGTGAGTGTAACTTTGATTTTAGAATTTGTTGTGTAATACATCCTTGTGAAGAGTGAAAAGTAAGTCACCTTCAATTAAGTTCCTTTTTTTGGTTTTAGTATGGAAAGACCTATTTTCGGTAAATTTATTGTATACTTGATTTATCCAGTTTTTGTTATTGTTTTAAAATACACATATTGGATCTTTCTCTTCTTCATTTGCTTTCGCTCTTCTTCGCTCCTTCCTTTTTCCGGTGATTCTCTTATGAACTTGTGATTGTTGTGTTATCGTGTAAAGTTTTTATTGCCCATTACAAGTTTCAAGAGGAATAATCGTTAGTCTGCTTTTTCAATGATATGTAATCTAAGCGACCTTATTAACAATCAATTTTTTTGTACTCATCAGTTGAGGACCAAGAACATCACCGATTTTTCTTCTAAGCATTTCAGCACAGATAATATCGCATTTATACTCTCAAATTTTACACAGCAAAAATATGATGGAAAATTACCTCTGACTAGCTCACGCAAATAGACAATTGTACTAATTTTCTATGTTTGTTGTAAAAAATACGAAATTTTTCTCTAAAGACATTCGAAAATTATCAAAGTGGTTAGCTAAATCATCGAATAGTAAACATGATACATTATATTGGTAGTTGGCTAAACGCCTATCGGAAATATCAATGACGCATCTTCTTCATGTACTCCCGTCGAGTTGAATGGACTTGAAAGAAAGTCCACTGTCAGTCCATTGTTTAGTTCTACTGCTACGTCCCGTAAATCACCTAACAAAAACTGCTTGTGTTTTGCCATTCGAAAGATTGCATATTAAATGTTTTCGCAAATAGCACTCAGGTGTTGAAGTCTTTTTTTTTATTAAAACAGAAGTGTAAAAGAGATTCTTAAATATGCTTTTATAAACCGTCTCTGTTTGTTAAAAGTTCTTTCGACTTTATATAGGCAAATAAATATTTTTAAAAGCTGTTTTCATTTTTATCAGCAAATTTTTTTGCTGTTATAATAACGCAGTGTTTTTGAAAAATATTTTTGCAAAATGTTTTGTCTTTGACATATAAGTTTTCCTTAATTAATGCCTTTATTTTATGATACGAATTATTTTTGAGTATTGCAAAGATATTAATTGCTTTCGTAGAGTATTTTAAATCTACCATACTTCCCTTGACGGACATAAGATAATAATGCTTAAAGTTTGTTCTTTTTTAAAGGATTGCTTTCTAATTTCTCTTCGGGCGTTGATATATTTTCGGTTCCATTTTTCTCTTTTTAACATATATATATGTATTGTATATATTATATCATTATTTAGCGCACTCTTTCCAGTGTCTTCGTGTTCACTCCAAAACACAAATCTCTACGACTTTTCACATTTTGTGTTCACTCATTGAACACCTCGTCACAATTTTCTTTCGTCTTTTACACATATGTATACCAGAAATTTTTATATAATTGCGTGTGATAATGTTATCTATAATTCTCTTGCTTCTCTTTTTCATTGACCTATCCTGCGTAGCGTATTTCACTTCGATTGTATTCCGCTTCCTTCTTATAACGGTTGTTTTCTTTTATGTGCTTCATATGTGTTCTCTGCGCTTTTTGTTTTTTCAAAAGAACTTATCGTTCTTATTATTGTCATGCTTAAAAAAAGGGGTGTTATAAAAAGTTGAGTATATTTGTACCATCAGAAGGAAGTAGTAATGTATATATTTATTAAGATTTCTTACTATTTTATGTCGGTTACGTGTTGTCTATAAAATTGATTTTAAATTAAATTTACTACGTTTTTTTTTCCTACTTTTTATTTTGTCATTTTAATTGGCTTTAATCGACCCCCGTTTTTGATAAAGCAGCTAATTATGACTTGTTATAGCGTAGCGACATTTATTATGATTTTTTTTTTTCTTGATTATCCAAGCAAGCAAACAAATGAACGTTGCTTTTTTTTGTAATACATCCAAAAATTAGCGAAATAGATTTACAAACAGTTTTTCCTATTTCTTTGAATGATCGAGAAGAAAGGGAAAATTCAGAGTGCCCTTCGCCGTGGGTTGCATAGTTTTCAGAATCAATACAATCCAACCCAACCAGTGTCTGGTTTCATCTCATCATTCGTGAATGGAAACAATTTTTAATGCACTCATCCCCATCCTCCCGCTTTTTAAGTATACGAACTATTTCGAGATTTGTCCTTACTTTTGTAGCATCGAAAATGCTCGTCTGAATTGTGTCATCAGTCCTTGTCGGTAACATTTGTCATATATGTGTTAGGCGCTTCTAATATCTCCAAATATAAAGCAGGAATTTAAAACGATGAAAAATCCAATTTTTCTGAAAAGTCATCTCTTAACATCTCTAACTTTGTCTCGACGTTTCGAGCTTTGAACTTTGACAGCAAGGAAACCTGAGTTGTCGCAAGTAATACTAGCTATCCTCTCCCTGAAAGTTTTTAAAATTGATGCACAATTCTAATACATGCAAGGAAAACTATAATTGAAAGTTAGCGACACAAGTAAAAAAAAGGAAATGAGAGAAAGAAGACTATTGCCTCAGAAAAGAGTGCTATTCCATAATAAGTTCACTCCTATATTGCTTCGAAAATTAATGCCATTCCTTGTTAATGTCGTGATGTCAAGAGAAGTAATTTTTTTTTTTTTTAATGTTGGCAACATTGTTCGTTAAATTGTTGGCCGATCAGCGAGCATTTTCAGAAGAGATTTATTTGTTTGTTTTGTTATTGTATGACACAGGCATTTGGGGGATCCACCAGTGTCTGGTGCTCGTACTTTTTTCGAAATGACTTATTTAGTTATTTATTATTATTTATTAATGAAAGCCTGCACTTGTGTGCGTGTGACAAATGTTTTTAATTTTCGCAATGGACGTATAACGTAGTCTAAATAATATAAATAAGTGGTAGGCGTACATCTTTTACAGGATATATTTAAAATAGAACTTTCATAGCGAAGCAAAGTGTTCTGATACTCCATTAGAGTAGCAAATTGCAATCGGCTTCGAATTTTGCTTCTTCGTGACAGACAAAATTTAATTTTTAAAATAGCACAAACTTGAATAAACTAAGAATTCCTTCATCAAAATGAAACTCTCAATTACCTACAAATATGAATATTAATGGCTGCTTTCAATATGTTAAACTAAAGTGAAAGTTTACTAACGAGCTGAGTTCTTCACAGGCATTTTTAACTAGAAGTTAAATGACTTACCTTTCAATAACGTACGATTTGCTAATTGTTAATGAGATTATTCTGATTGACTTTTTGTCTATTGTTTATATTTTCCCCCATATTATTTTTCTTATTTCGTTTTATTAGCCGTATGATTATTTTCATCATCATTTGATTTGCTTTTATGTGATGATCTGTCAGTTAAACCACCATGTCGCGACGTCCGCAATTTAATTTAGAGTTAATGCTCTTAGCTTGCCGCATTCTATTCTCCAAGTCGTCTTATTTGATATCCAATTGATCGTATTTCGGTTACAAAAAACGAAGACTCCCCGTTATGGGGTCGACCATATATGTTTTAGAATGAATATATTCTTAGAGAGATGATATATCTTGATGTAAAGAATATACAGAAAAATATTCGACATGCTTTCGATCTTATATGTAGTAAGCAGAAAACGACAAAACAATTTAAAAAACAAAAATTTCTTCGTTTTTTATCTTTTGTCGTTCATAAGTAGAAAACGAAAACCGAAATTTTTTTTTTTTTTTCGTTGAAGAACAGAGGTGGTTTTAGGTCATGTTGCATTGTGGTCGCGTGTTTTAAACCAGTAAGACAAACCAACGGGCGGACATTATTATTATTATTTACGTGGGCAAAACGTACAGCGACCTAGAAGATTATTGTACTCGTCCATGATCCTGGCCGTCCGGATTAAGGATTTTTTATGAATCCCGCCCTCTTCTGTGGATCGGAGCACTTTAACGTGTCCGGCGGAGTAAAAAGCTCGCCAAACGCTTAATGTCTAATTCTGCCTAATCACCTCACATTCGCATAGAATATCATGGGACGTTTAACTCGTCCTTTGGCAAAATCTGCATGAGTCGGTATTAAACATACCCATGTCTTTTAGACGGTACCTGAGGGGATTATGACTCGTGTAGAAGCCGGTGGCTAAACGTAAATCGCTTCTTAGTTCCAGTAGTTAGTGTGCCGCTTTATTTTGTGCCCATTGGGATACCAGCCTGCCAATGTGGCTTCTTGATAAGTCACAGAACGGTTCAGGACCTACGGAGGCTCCTCGGACTCCCCTCCTAGCTAGGTAGTCAGCTCTTTCGTTGCCCTTAACATCCGAATGTCCAGGCACCCAAATGACGTGCACATCATTATGCTTACCTACCTTATTCAGCGTGTGAGGCCACTACCATACCAGCCTGGACATTATCATTCGCCTCCTTAGGGACCTTAAGGTCGCTTGGTTGTCGCAGTATATGCATATTCGCTGCATTTCTGCTGTACTGCTTTCTTAAGGATTCAGATGCACGTATGGTGATTGTGTAGACTTCTGCT